TGTTACCCACTAAAAAGCATATTTTTCATTTCTGATGATTGCTTTTCAAGTTTAACTTTTGAATCTTACCTTTGATGCCTCCATACATGGCAAGGCAAGGCACATATAGAGAAGTGTACCAAAAAATGTAATAATTAAAGACAGTCAGACCATCTACACACAGAGCATTTTCACATGCATCACCTCATTTAATCATCACAGCGATCTCTTAGGGAAAATGCAACTGGATCTCAGAAAAGCCATGCCAGAATCCAGGTTTCCCATTATTCAGATTTATGCTCTAAAATCCTGTGAAGAAACTTCTATTTCCATTTATCTACGAGGAATGAACTTGTTTTTATAAATATACCATTTGCAAAAAAGTAATGTTTTCTTTTATAAAAAATTAACCTGAAATACAGCCAGTGAATAACATTAACAGTTAATTTTATCAAGGCAGTTTGCCAGGTGTTTAGTTAACATTTCCAAACATTTTGTTTTAAGGTAGAGAGATAATTTATTTTAAACTAACAGAATCATGCTATTTTGCTGTAAGTTCATACGAAGTTCATTCTTTTGAGGTGTATATTTTTGTAACTATTTTTAAAGAAAATATAAAATTACCTGTCATTAAAACACCTTTTTAAAAAATGATGGTAAGATATATATAACATAATATTTACCATCTTAACCATTTTTAAGTGTGTAGTTTGGTGGCATTGGTACATTCTCATTATTGTGCAGTCAATCTCCAGAACTTTTTTCATCTTGCAAAACTGAAACTCTGTACCCCATTAAACAGTAGCTCCCCATTCCCCACTCACCCTAGCCCGAGAGCCACCATTCTGCTTTCTGCCTCTATGAATCTGAGTACTCAAGGTACCTCACATCAGTGGAATCATACAGTATTTGACTTTTTTGTGATGGGCTGAAACACTTTTTAAATAATACATAACGTTATTCATTTAGGGACTTTAGAGCAATCGTATACCTACACGTAGAGAACAGTAATATGAACTTCTTGGTGCCAGAAGCATATGTAGTATCCATCTATCTTTTCCCTTTTTGTGCAGGCACCCAAACAGTTTAGACATATTTTCCAGTCAGACGTAAGAATGATACAAACAAAGATTTTAGCACATCATATATAAAGAAAAGAAAACAGCAAGTCTGTTTATTGCTGCTTATAGTAATTTATATTTGATAAGAATCACATAATATTAGAATGTTAGAATCATCCAGTCTAGCCAATGCTCATTGTACAAATGAAAAAACAGTCAAGCAGGCAAGTGACTGACCCAAGGTCAGTAACAAAGAAAAAAGTTTTCTTAATTCTGTGTACATTCCTCGTATGAAATGAACGTTCTTATGGTATAACTAATTGTGTCCTTGAATTTCAGAGACCAACATTATGGCCTAAAATAAGTAAAAAGTTATGTTTATTACAAATAAGTTATGAATAACAGAAAAGATTATGCCTATCCTTAATTTTTACATTAAGGATTGGTTTATTAGGGACATATACATCATTGTTTCATTAAAGCATAAATCTGTTTAATGGGAATATGCTGAATCCCTAGCATGGGGTTTAATTCTGTAATATTGGATTTTTCTTGCACTACAGCTCAGTGTATAGTAAAACCTAGAAATGATATATTTCGTTTTGTATAAGCATTTTTTCATGTGTCAGTGTATCAATATGTGAATGAGCATTTCTTCTAGAATTGGTGATACCATCCACTTAAGATTCAGTACCCATGGAAAATAACACCATATTTACATAACCATATACCCCATCAGTTAAAAAAAAATCCACATACTTCACTTATGTTTATGAATTGTATGTACAAACTACTGTACTGATATTGTATACATTAAAAGCTTACACAAAATGTAAATTTTTAAAAGATATCAAAAATATATTTTTCTATACATAGTGGATCATTTTGTACATATCTTTAGAAGTATAAGGGTGTGGGAATTAATTATGACCATGATTTATGTAATTTGATGGTACTCTAAGCCTATTGTTACTGCGAATTATAACAGTATAAAAATGAATGAATCCAGTACAATAGAATGTATTAAAGTACTGCTGTGAAGGTCTTTGGAATGACAACTTTAAGAAGCTCTATAAAAATGTAATACCAAGGCAATCAGTATTTATTTAGCATCTTCAAATGAGAGACAATATCCATATACCAGGAAGGAGCTTATGTTATAGTAGGAAGTAATTTATTTAGATGTGTATATAAGTCCCGTGTGTAAAGATAGATGTGTATATAAGTCCTGTGTGTAAAGATAACTGATAATTCAAGAGAGAATATAAGAAATAGAGACTTTCATGGACAGAAGCAATCACTTCAAGCCTGTGGGAGTTAACAGGGGCTTCAAGGAGGAGTAGCTATTTTTTTATTTTATTTTACTTTATTTTAGTCTGAGCCTTATCATTTGAATAGACAGAAAGCACAGAAAAAACTTAGAAGACTGAGTTGATTCATTTTATTGAAGCACACAGTTTTTGTGAAGGAAAGCTAAAGAAGTAGAATTTGATTCTTTTGAGGAGGATATTAGCCTCACCTAGGCTAAGGAAATTGGACTTTTCCTGTTTGCATTGGGGGGACTGCTAAGCAGAAGTGTGCTGTGATCACAGTGGTAGTTTAAGAAGACGTCTCTTGGCATCGTAGAATACACTTTGATGGAGAGAGAAAATGGAGTTAGGGAGACCAGTCGACAAGCTATTATGCAACTCTTAGTAAAAATTAACATTGGAGTGCCAGGGACTGTTCTAAGCATGCCTCAAGTGTTCGGCTCTGTGAGGTTAAGTACTGTTATTATTCCCATTTTACAGATGAAGAAACTGAGGCACAGAGCAATTCTCTCCCCGTCCCCTGCCCAAGGTCACACAACTAGTAATCCAGGAAGTCTCCATCCTCTAGCTGCTGCCATAGACAGCTTGGATCTAAGCTAGAACTGGGGCTCTGCGTAGAAATGATGGACGCAGCCATGGAAGACTGAAAAGTCACATGGGTAGAACTTGGCTGACTGTGCGGGGGTCAGGAGGGGCGTGTTGAAGATGAGCCGAGCGAAGTCAGAATTGGGCAGTAACATGAATCAAAATAGAGAAATCAAGATCGACTGACCAGTTTTACAGAAATTTATCCCAAGGATATAATCATAGAGAAAGAAAAAGCAAAACAGAGGTGTTTTTTTTTTAATTACAAGATATTGATTACCGTGTTTATGAGAGGAGGGAAAAAAGAAAAACTTGGAGGTTATTACCAAAATGTTAATGATATGTCTCTGAGCATTTGGATATTCCATGACACTTTTTAAAAAGTATATTAGTATTTTCTAGATTTTTCTGTAGTAAAGGTGTATTGTTTTTATAACAATAATTTACCTATTTCTAAAAGGAGCGTACTAGTTTGGGGAAAAGGTTATTTTAGAGTCTACTTATTAATTCATTCATCCATTTTTCAAGTGTTTATTGTAGTGCTTACAATATGCTGAGCATAATACCTGATCCTGACTAGGTGTTTGAGATAGAAAAATGAAAAGACAGTTCACTTTCTTTCAGAAGCGTTCAGTCCAGCAGGAAGACAGGCATCCAGTGTAATGTGACATAGGAAATACATGTTCGAGTCAGAGTCAGCAGTCTGGGGAAAGAGCCATCTAGATATGTTTGTTTCAATCTGGGAAGGCATAACATTTAAGACACTGTTTTAATGAAGCCTTAACAGTTGCCAGGTTGACAGAGAAGCTTAAAGACGGCATTTCACGAAGAAACAGCAGCACGTGAGGTGATGGTAGACTCTCCAGATGCAAACATCCAGCTTAGGTTAGAACCAGGAGGGGGAGCTCCAGGCAGGAGTCACCTGAGCAGTGGTGACACCTGTAACCCGTATGAGATCTCTAAATAGAATGTCTTGAAGAGAGCTGTTTTAAGTCTAGGAGAAGGAAGAAGATGCCAATGAAGGACCTAGAGAAGTAGGAAGAATTAGAATATTATGATGTGGAGGTGCAAGAAGCCGTGGTGTCCACTGCTGCAGAGGGCCATGACCGCTTTGTGATGCATGTGACCACAGTCTTCTGTGTTTTTGTTAAATTTGTATCATAGTCTCTGCAGCGTTATGTCCTGCCTTTTCAATAATTGAATGAACTATGATTTATTTACCTTTCTTTTTTTTTAAGCTTTTGAGCATTTGGGCTTTTCCCTCCACTCCAAGGAAACAAATCAACTTGTAAAGAATTCAGGAGACTGGCTTATGAAAAAGTGGATACAGGTGTAAAATAAAGGTAAAAAAAATTCAGAAAGTTAGCAATGAGCTTACTAGACTGAAACAAAGATGAATTCTAGGCACCTAGATCGGTGACTGGTATTGAATGATTGAAGGAAGAATGATATTAACCAATAGAGTTAGAGAGAGTAGGATGAAGTCTAGTTTTTTAAATGAGAATGAAAACTTATTTATACGTACATGAGTACAAGGTGCGAATTGTAGTTTGTTTAGCCTTGGAAAATAGGAGGGCTGCCTTTCCTCCTGAGACTGAGGACAGGGAGGCTCAGGTTTTGTGCAGATGTTTTCAAGATGGGAAAGAACAAGGAAGCTAGGCCCTGAGTAGACTTAATCTCAGCGCAGCAGTAGGTAACGAAGAGGTGTAATTATAGGCTTAAGGAAAATGAAAGCAATTTTTAAATCCTCCTTTTGAGGACGATGCTGATGGGAAGAGCAGCAAGAGGGAAATAAGATGGGTGAGCAGCAGCAAGTACCGAGCTGGAGGCTGATGAGATGCTTTAAAAGCTAGTGACTTAGATTGTAAGAATTCGGATGGAAGACTGTTCATAACTGTTTTACAGAGTCTTAGAACTGAGAGGTGTATCTAAGTTCAATTCTCGATTAATAGAAAACAAAGATAGTAATTTCAATGCTCGTGTATATTTATTATGAGTGTTGTTTCATAAACCTTAGAACGTATTAACCTCACACTTCCATTTTTAACAGTAAGCAGTAACTCACCTTCATTGATGAAAGTCACTGGTGGCATCTTGAAAGGGCTTTTGGTGGGAGCCGTTGCCAGATCAGGCGGTGGCATGAGATCTCTGGGATAACCCGGATCTCTCTGTATCTCGTTACCCCCCAGCAGGCCAGGCGTGTACTGGTGGCTGTTGGGAACGTGTTGTGGCACTACCTGGACAAGAGGAGGAGACACGTGGGGGTCTTGTCGGGAAAATATCCTCAGGCACTGTTCTTCCAATAGAGTGATCATCACGGACTGGTTGTTGACGAGATCCGTCAAGGAAGCATATTTCACCTCTAGTTCCCTGTACCTCGTCGCCATCTTCAACATTTCTGTGGTGACGTTGAGGATTTTATTTTCCAGCTGGGAGAGTTCGAGCGAGTTGTCCCTCTTGCGGATAATCTCGTGCAGCAGCTGCATGTAGAGCTGAGTAACACGCGAGTTCATGTTGCGGCTTTCTTTCCTCAGCAGCTTCACCTCGTTCACGATGTTTCCGTCCACGTCCACCACCAGCTGCAGGACGTCGATCTCCCGCTTCTGCTTGGAGAGCACGTCCTTCAGGTTCTCAAGGTCCATCCGGGTGATCATGTCTTTGATGGCCCCTGCGTCTTGCCCTTTGGTGTTCACGCAGATTGGCCCCGTTATTTTTTGCTCCGGTACCAGGAATGTGTACGCACATTTCTTGACTTCCTCTTTACTGTCCGTGGCCCGAGGGGATCTCCTCTGAGTTATTTTTTTTATTTTGAACTGTCCCCCTCGGCAGCGTCCAGAGCCCGTTAGCAGGAGGAGGAGCACGCTTAGGGTCCAGATAAAAGCCTTCATTTTGAAATGAAGTTGTATGACGTCTTTTTGAAAAAGAAAAAAACGGTGAAGGGAAAAAGTAAAAAGCATTAATACCAATCTTTTAAAGTCCGTAATATACAAAAGTATCTGAGAGGAAAACTGAATTATCTATTGACATTAGTAAATTGGGTCAGAATTGTTGTTAATTTCTTAAATTCAGTATCATAGCGCCTTCGCATTTGTTTAAACTTAGATCTGAGACTAGTTCTTCAACTGCCACTGTATTCTTTGCTCCCCAGCCAGCGAGCAGATGTTGATGGGTGCACCTGTGTGCAGAGGCTGCTGTTAGGTGCTCCTGGGTTTCCTGAGACCCTATGAGATACTCTTCTTACCTCCAGAAAGCTCACTTACTATCTTAAAATTCTGAAAACGGTATACAATATTCGTAAGGCATCAATTAAAACATTACTTCCTAACATTAGGTGACTTCAGTAGTCAGTAATTTATATTTATATTGTGCAGTTTCAGTTAAATTAGGTCTCTCAACAAATACCTTTTTTATCTATCAAATTAAAGAAAGATTTTTAGACAAATCTAAAACCAGAAAGTTTTAGCATCATATTTTTGTTTTTGTAGTGTGTCCTTTTGCGATTGGTGACAAGTTTAAAAGTGATAGAATAAGGCTTATGGTCATTATTGTGGGAAATTGCATTTCCTAAATTGTAATATGATATATGCTCTAAGCTTATATGGGATTCAGCAGGTTAATTTTTCTAACAGGTTCTAGTGAACTGTATTTTAGTAAAATGTTAATAATTTTCTATTACCAAGGAAAGAAACTGTCTATAACTGAATATGATTCTTGGAGTTGGAAAGCCGTAGAGCCCATCTCATTCGAGAACCTCTCTGAACCCAGGTGCATATTGAGGGCCAGGCCCACACAAAGGGATGAGATTAGAGCCAGGTCTGGAATTCAGGTTCCCTGGCTCGTCAGGTGTTTATGGCAGTGGCACATATGCTAAAATGCGTGCTTGGAGTGTTTCATTTGTGCTGCGGCAGATGAGAAATATTTGTCCTCTATGGTACAGTGTCTACAGAAACACTAGAACTAGTTCCAAACCAAAGCCTCTTCCTTTCTCTATACTTACCTCCCTAAGGAGTAGCAGCAGTAGAATGGGTAAGGTATGTCACTCCATCAGGTCATTAACAAGCTGCGGTGGTGCAGCCCACCTTCTCACGCTTATGAACTTGATTCCTGTCTGCTGTTTTTGACAGATGGCAGTGGATACACTAATTGGAGCTTTCCTATCCCATTTTCCACCCCAGTAGTTGTTTTTTTTTTTTATTTAAGAAGCCAGGTCCCAACTTGTTTATGCCTTCTATTAATGGATAGCAATGCAGTAATAACAGTTGCATACTTATTGCATGCTTGTTAAATGCCAGGCATTGCTTCAAGCCCTTTACTCTATCAGATCATTTGCTGAGGTAGATTATTATGATCCTCATTTTCAGATGAAGAAACTGGCCAGCAGAAGTTAGGTACCTTACCCAGAATTACACAGCTTCTTAGAGACGGAGCCAGGATTTGAAGCCAGATAGAAAACTCCAGGGTTCATATTTTCCATGTAATCACTATATCACATGGCAGCATATTCTCTCCTATTTTCTATCACCAACATTGTAACAATTCCTTATATTCATGTGTGCTCAACACATGTTAACTGTTTGCATTCATAGCCACACGGTGAAGTAAATGAAGTAAATGCGTGCCATTTTGTACGGGAATGAGGTCCTGGAGAAGCTTAAATACCCAAGTGGGATTCAGATCTTCTACTCGTGACTTTTGTAGACCTCTGATTTTTATGTTACTTATGTCATAACTACAGAAGAGTCTGAACTTTGTGTTTCTTCTTTTTCACAAAATGGAATGATAATGAAAATAAAGAATGGATGTGTGGAGAATTACTATTCTTTTACAAAATAAGATAGGAAGGATGAGTGGAATATTCCATATTTATATTGAAGGCCTTCTACTGCTGACTTAGAGCCAAGAGCACATTTGGATCAGCACTGTTTTTTTTGTTGGTTTTCATACTTTGCCCTCTGACATCAGGAGAAATTTTAGACCTTAAGAGTTATCTGTTTTATTTTTAAAAGGCTTTTGTTGTTTATACCAAAAGAGTTACCTGCACCAAAAACCAATAAAAGACTTCTCGTTAAGTTGAGATCTGGTTTAATTTAAAAACTGAGGACAGTAAAATAGAAGCTGTCAGCCCCCTGGGTAAATGTGCAGCATGTGCCCTACACAGGCAGCCTACCTGGTGTTCGAATCCAGGCATTTCACTCTCATAATAGATCGGAAAGTCTTAGCTCATAAAATTATTCTATTTTAATAACCTACTACGAAATAAGTTACCAAAACAAGAACAATTCTGAAAGTTTTGTGAAACTTCAAAACACGTAGAATTTTATGAGAAATATTCTGTTTGAAAAGCTTGTATTCCTACCAGACACAGGTTTCTATGGAACAGCATATAATCCAGGACTGTTGTGACTTTGCATCATTGTTGTCATGGAAGAACAAAGATGTGGAAATATGAGTCCAAATTACAATAGCAATAGCTTCCTTTTGATGTAGTCTGCCTTGGCTCTTAGCGGGTTCCTATACGATTAAGTCATAACATAAATCACTGTCTACCATATGAGAATTTGACCCAAATTAGTATTTAAAAGAGACGAGTAAAAGCTCGTATTTTTTTTTTTTAATAAATACAATTCCCTTATCCTTACACAAGTAATGACTTCATTGTTCACACAGAGTAAGGAGCCACATTTCTTAAGTAGTAGACTAGCTACGTCATGAGTAAAGAACTGTTTTTAAAAATACGTTTACTGTTACATTTTCTGAAAACATTCTCTTATTTAATATTTTCCCACATATGTTCAGTTTTAAAAGTGAAAGATCCATAAATCTGTGTTACCTCATAAAACCTTTCTGTATACGTTAAAATTTTCCTAGGTCCCACGAGAATGTTATAAATTAGTACAGTATACTTAAGTTTAAATCTGTCTTTGCTGGGTTGTTTCTAGGGGGAAAAAAAGTCTTCTATGCCTTGGGTTAACTTTATTGGTACTTTCTCTCCTCATAGTTGCTACATTGCCAGCTAGTAGAGAAAAGAAACAAGTCAGGATTTGCTTCCTTTCAGATGGCAAGCGCAGAGGCACTTAACTGACGGTATCAGCCACTGAAATTAGCATGAAGCCATGAACTTAAATTTATGAAGCAATGACAGTACCTTAGATAAAGAACTTCTAGATTGCGAATTACTTTCTGGGAAGAGACTAGTTATCTGTGTGATTTGGGCTTTAGATTGCATGCATCCCTACGGCTTCAGTAAGAACTGAGGTTTAATGAGGTGTCCTGTACTTTTCACAGCAAACAACAACAAAAAAGAGATGACAAATACATCAGATCCATTACTACTTGGAAATTCTAGCAGAATTTCTTGTAAAATATGTTTAACAGAGATCCTCCCAGTATTTAGAGTTAAGAATCTTTACAGAAAGAACATGAAAGTAAAGTTGGAGAAATCTTAGCTTCCTCATTATTTGCTTGTCGAGGATTCCTGCAGTTAATATCTTTAGTATGTAAAGGGACAAAGGGTCCCCAGATCGCAACAGACTTAAGTATCTTTACTATTAGTAACCAATAATATTATTTTAAATACTCATACACGTAAAGCCCCCAGATAGAATATTGAAAGAAACCTCTTGTGCATGGTTACCAAAATTACTTCTGCAAAAATATATTTTTGGTCTTTTAATCATGTGTTTAAGTAGTTGCATTGGGTTTTATTTTCTGTTGTTAGTGCTGAATACATATGTAATACTTCTATCACATTTGCTCCTCGGTCCTGATCTGTTAACGTTTTAGGTATTCTTTTTTTAATGTAACAATAACTGCTTTTTCAAGTAATTCCAGTTTTCGTTTCTGTTACCCAAGTTAAATTGCCATTACATGTGAACCTGGGAAAATATTTAGAATTTTGAGTTTTAGCAAGAAATACATAGACTTGTCTTAAATCTTTACAAGGATTTCTGCTTACTATTTGGTTATGCTGTAATTGAGGTATTGTTGCAAAGCCTTTTGAGTAATTTTATATCTTCTTAGCTGTGTTTTTCTAGCTATGCTTTAAAATATCTAACAGTCTATATCAATCGTTAGCACACACACTGTAGCTACGTGAAGAGACACTAACCATATTTACAACTATTTTCTTTAAGTTTGTTTCCCTTTGTTTTTAATCAGTGTGCTATAAACCTTCCTTATACATTAATCTTAAAGTGAAAATTTCTATCTCATGTCACTAAAGCACTTGTTTTCTGAAACCCAGCATATGTGCATTAATCTATAAGCATATACATTAAATATAATTAAATTGAACCTTGATTAATGCAGTAGTCATCAGAAAATAGGTAATGGCCAGTTTTTACATATGGTTGCAAAGCAAAACCTTTTTCAGATGAAATTTTAGTATATTCCAAAATACTTTTTATATAATAAGAGATTTTGAAAATTCTACCACAATGTACAAGAATTATGCATTTTGACATACATTAGAATTTTCAAATAAAAATAAAAAATATTAAAATACCTTTTTGCATCTGCTGATAAAGCAAACCCAGAAACTTGCCGCTCTTATTCTTGCTGTTAAAAATCAGTGTAGAAGTTTGTTCATCTGTGACTTTAATGGCAACTGCATTTTTGTTTTGGACCGTTGAATCCAAGCTGTAATAAGGAACTTTTTCTTCTTACAACACTAATCAATTGAATTTGACAAGCCACCTATGTAATTTTAAGAAGTGGAGTGGAAGTTCTGGTCTGTGGGCTGTCTTTAATCCAGCAGAGAAAGCATTGTGGCTTTGCTCTGTCTGCCACATGGAGAAATGCAGTAACCAGCTGCAGCTGACCCAGATTGTATATACAGCACCCTTGAATAGTGATTCCCTCTTTCTCGGTAGACTCAAGTTCAGCCCACATATTACGTCACCGAAAAATTGCTGGAGACCGGGGGAAAGTCTCCTTAGGATTTCCTCTCTGTGGCCTTAAATCGGGGTGGGGGGGAGTAGGATCAGCGGGGGGTTGAATAGCTCTGAACAAGGAGGGACTGTGCAGGTTGAAGGAAGAGCACCATCTGGAAGCAAACTATCATGGTTCAGCGGGCAATTACAGAACAAACATTTGAGTCTGCGGCCAGAGATCTTTTAAGTTACATACTGAAAAAATAGTACTCAATTTAGAAGCAGTTGCGGACTGATGAGTTTGTTTTTGTTTTAAAGAACAAGAGTTACAGTTTGTCAGGAGGCAGCCACCTGAATAATACAATACGCTCTGTAGCTTAGAAGTTCTAAACATTTTTCTAAGTTGCCATTTCAGAAGGTTTTAAACTTATAAGAAACTCAATGTTATACTACGTTATATCTGTCTGTAATGTTTCTTAAGATAAAACTGCTCATGTGTATAATTACCAGAACTAAGTGGAAATCTGTGTATAAAATTCTTTCAGAAATTTAACACTTTAAAATTAAACTCTGATGCTCTGTAATGTCACTTTCCTCTTAATTCTACGACGTGACCCTTCTTGCCTGAATAAGATTATTCTTAGAGTTGATGTTTTGTGATTTAAACACAAACATAACCCTGGCCTGTGGGCGGGGTGTGGAGGGGAGGGAAGGAGTTCTGAACCACCCCCCCCACCCCCGGCTATGTGAACTTAGACAAGTCCCTTTTACTTACCTCAGGCTCAGCTCTTCTGCTGTGAAATTAGGTGCTGGAGAGAGCATTACTAATTGTTGAGTACTAACTATGCTATTATATTTCATTAAATCAAGAAATGTGATTAAGTAACTCAATTTCGGAGGAAACACAAATTTAGGCATCTTAAGTGATTTGGCTTAGTCCTTAAGTCGTCGAATTGGGATTTGTGGGATTTGGAATCTGACTCTAAGCATTATGCCTGTGTGTGTGTGTGTGTGTGTGTGTGTGTCTCTCTCTCTCTCTCTCTCTCTCTCTCTCTCTCTCTCTCTCTCTCTCTCTCTCTCTCTCTCTCTCTCTCTCTCTCTCTCTCTCTGTCTCTCTGTCTCTCTCTCTGTCTCTCTCTCTCTCGCTCTCTCTCTCTCTCTCTCTCTCTCTCCCTCTCCCCCTCCCTCCCCCCTCACTAGAGCATACAGTTGCAGATTGCTGCTTCTAGACAAAACCTTTGGGCTTCCACTTCCTGTACACATCATGTGTTTTCCCCTCCTCGTTGCTTTAGTTTGTGCTATTCTTTTTCCAATAGGCTGTCCTGAGTTCACTTGTATTTTATTGATCCACGGCCTTATGTAAAGTCAGCTTAGTTTCTGCCCCTTTTACAAAAGTAATCATTTCTTTACATTCCTGTGACATACATAGGCACATCAAGGGTTGCAAAGTGAAGGGGCTATAAAGACAAATACAGCAAGAACGAAACACGTAGTAAGTGAGGTAAACCAGAAATAAGATAACAGGAAAATAGAGTTATGACAAACAGGCATCTTTATGGTTAGTATAATGAGATGTGCACCCTTTCCAGCTGTACTTCATTGTTGCCAGTTCTCCCCATTTTTTAGGAAAAGAGTCATTTAGGTATTTCCTGTGATATTTCCTGATTTTAAAAACATTGGGACAGATAGACTGCCAGCTTCTAGCCTCGGATTTGCATTATGTAATATGTTACTTGACCAGTCCGTGATCATGTCTTACTCACTCATAGCTTAATCTGGGGGAGATATGAGCTGGTAAATTCCTCCTGAGCTTTTTTACTTGAGCGATTTGGAGTTTTCAAACTTCAGCGATTAGTAATATCACAACCGTGATGGAAATTGGAATGGCAGGTGTTTAGGGGCAAATAATAGTTAGTTTGGAATGTTAAATTGAAAATGAAAGTCAGGAGCTCGGTTCCATAGAAAGATTTGGAAAGTTATCAGCAACTAAGTGACAGCTGAAGCTACCGAAGTGAGATAACCCGGGACAAGTACGCGTAGGGTGGGAAGATTGACGACAGAGCCTTGGGGAACATGGAGAAGAACAAGACGGGAGAGGGTGTGGGAAGCTAGGAAGGGTCAATCCAGGAAACACCAACGAGGACAGACAAAGCGGGAGGAGGAGACCAAGATGTTTGAGGGTAATAATGAGGAGGGGTCACTTACGCCTTTGCTGGAATAAGTTTCAGCAGTGAGAGAGATTTCAGATGATATAGTGGGTCGAAGAGTGACTGGATAAAATTTAACTGCCAAGGGGAGATAGATATATCTATAGTTTCTACAATATGTTAAGAACTTAGAAATCAATAATAATTTTCAAAAAAAAAAAGGAAAAATGGACAAAAGACATTTTATAGAAATATAAACGCTTAACCTCATTGTTAATCAAAGAAATGAAAATTAAAACAATTATATATCATTTTATACTCACAGGAGTCGTAGAAATAGAGGACACTCAATACCACGTGTGGGTCGGTGGAGAGTTACATATTGACAGTAGGAGTGTGAATTGATACAGCTTTAAAAAGCAACGTGTCATTGTCTTATAAAGTTGAACATTGATATACCATATATATGCCATATGTATATCTCCTAGAGAAATTCTTGTACATGTGTACCAAAAGACATGTCCAAAAACATCTATGGCAGTGTAGGGGAGGGGGGTCTAACTCATAAGTCTAACAAATAAAATGGGTAAATTGTGATATGGTCACATATTAGATTATTCTCAATTTGAGGAATTAGAGCTGCATTTAACAGCCTGACATGACACTTCATAAGTTATAGAAATGTCTAATCACTGTGTGGTATATCTGACATTAATATATGTCAACTATAATTGAAAAAAAATTAAAATATAAAAAAGTAGTATGAAGGAGGAAAAAAAAACCTGAATAAGTCTTAGAAAGAAAATAGTGAGTGAGACAAAGCATTCACAGAAACCCGTACTTTTAAAAATTTATCTAACAGATATTTATAAATCACTTATTGCGTACCTGGTCTGACTTTACCATTATCATTTAATCACATGTAAAAAACATTTTTTAAGGTCAGAACTAAGGAAAAGTAAATAAGATATTGTGTAGGGATACAGACATATGTCTTGAAAAAAACAAGCGAGTAATCTTAAAATCCAGAGCAGTGGTTCCCCGGGGCCCGGAAGCAGGGCGATGCCATAAGCAGGGAGCACACAGATGGGGTGACAGTGTTGGTGAGGTGGTTCTGAGATCACTCACGTTAAACATTCACAGATCATATTGTTTGATAATGTTAAATGTATTAAAGTATGAAATCACGATTCTCACACAAATACAAAATGAATATGGGTTCAAAGGTTTTATTTAAATCGTTAAATTTATAAGGGAATCGGGAAGATAATACTCCATTTCAGTGGAGAATTTAAAGCTCCACACGTACAGGTAGGCATTCGGGAGTGCTGACGTGAATTTACAAATAGTTGCAAAATTGGTCAGCATCCACAGGGCAATAATCAGTTACATCTCACTGGATGGACAGAATTTATTGGCATTTTTATGGACAAGAATTTGTATTATTGCCAGTTCTCAACAACTTACAGAGTTGTAAAATAGCTCAAAAGGGCCAAAGGATGCACTGGAGACAGGACACCTAGTAACCTTTTTTTTGCATACTTCCAAGTCTATCACAGCTTTTCCTGACACATGCAAACTTTTATGTGTGTCAAATATTACATTAAAAATAGAATAAAGACGGTTGAAAGGTACTTGTAATGACTAACAAGACATTTTACTCCTATATCTCTGAAGTGATTTACGAGAGACCAAATTTAACAAAAGATGCTTCCATTGCTCTTATTGCTCAGCAAATCGGGGAGCTGTGGGCCAGGAACTGTGGACAAAGACCAAAAATATATTTATTATAAATCACAAATCACAACTTCTAAATAGGAAGCCAGCTGGCAATTGCAAGGTATTAGTAAGGTGATAGAAGAAGAGTTGGTTTATAGTCCTTCAACCATTGAGGCTTCGTAAGAAGCAAAATTAACCAACATTTTCTTCTCATACCCACACAAACTCTGCGGAGATGGGGAGAAAGTATTCCCACGACGGTGGAGACAGCATTCTGTGTACTCATAAGGAAGAGAAGCAGGTTCTTAGGGAAGAAAGGTTTTGTTATCAGGTGCTTCCTTTCACTGGCAATGACATTTGAAGAACTTAAGGGCATGCGAAATAGACTTTAAATGGACTTAAGTGCTGGGAAATTTTCAGAAAAGTGTTTCATCTCTTTTATAGTAAATCTGTAAACCAGTAAAATTGCTCCAATAATTTAAAAAATAATAGAATGAAGGATTAAATAAGTGTACTGGTCTGTTTTTCCTTCAAGGTATTTGTCGAAGAGAGAGAGGTAAGAGTCCGATCTCAAGAAATGAATCAGATTTGAAGGAAGGCTTGATTCGATTTTTGTTTTCTTCCTTTTTTTTTTTAATTTATTTTTTTGGTGACTTTGGTTAACGAAATCCAGTAAGTTTCAGATGTACAATTTAACAGTAAGGCATATATATATTGCATTGTGTGTTCCCCTCCCATAGTTAGATTTCTTTCTGTCACCATGTATTTAACCACTTTCACCCCGTCTACCTCCCCGCTCCCCCACCCCCTCCACCCTCTGGTAACCACTAGTCTATTGTCCATGTCTATGAGTCTCTGTCCTGTTCGTTTGTTGTTTTTAGGTTTATATCCCACATATAAGTGATATCGTGGTTTTCAACTTTTTCCGTCTGGCTTATTTTGCTTAGGATGATTATCTCAAGGTCCATCCATGTTGTCGCACAATTTTGTTTTCTTATGTAGAGGAGATTTAGCATTGGCTCTGGGAAAAGAACCAGTGAAGGGCGGGTCATAGCAGAAGCAGCAGCGGATGTTTATGGAAGGTGGTAGTGATTACATTCAAGATCACAGTTTTTATTTAGAAAGAAGGGGTTCTTCTCTTGAGATTGGAAGAAGAGGAAAGGAGCGGTAGAGTTATTTGAAGTCAAAAACAAAGTTGAGTGTCTCTAAAGAAAAAGAAGTTGTTTATAGTAGGTGGCTTAAAGAACACTTAAGATTTGCTGAATGGAAAAGGAATGATATTAGGATGAGTAAAAGGATTGCCATGCCTACCTTTTACATTGTATTAAGCACCTGTTATCAAAACACTGCACAGGACTTTCATTTCCTTAGAGTACAAGGTAGAGCAACCGCCTTAAATGAGTTTATAATCTTGAACAGATAAGATATAAATATGAGGAAGTTTACATAAGGAAATTATAAAGTCATAAAAATTACCAAGCAAATGGTATAGATACTGATTGAGTTTATAACCGTATAATAATAATAAAAAAATACTTGGAGTATAAGTATGTACTCTGAGATCCAGCTCTATCACCAATGGTTCATACGGCATGAAATACAGCCTTTGATACCTGTGGACTCAGATTCTTCATCTATAAAAAGCGCGGGTCGGACTAGACAGTTCTAAAATCCTTTCTTGGAATCAGTGAGAAAACGAAAGAGCTTCTGGCACTGACCGGGGTATAAGAGAGAGTTTAGATAGGCAGAGATGAGTCTAGGAAACATTGAAGGTAGAAGAAACGGCATGAGAGAAACATAGGGCTTGTTTGGAAGACAACAGGTGCATCATCTTCGTTGCGTTCACCTTGAGAGTTCATGAACATGGAGGTGAAAGTAGGAAACGGTATTTTTTTTCTCCAACCACAGTTGTCTTATACACAGTACATGAAGTATTTTAAAATAAGTGGCCTTTCAATATCCAGAACTAGTGCAACCAAATTATTTTGGGGGACATGTTATTTTTGTTAGTATAGAGAAATGGGGGAGGAGGGAAGAGTGAACTTTAATTTGTAGTCACATGAACTATTTCAGAAATCCAACTGTTAATCTTTAAAACAAGACATTTCTATCAGAATGAGACAATTTTCAGATGTCTTGAGTTAAGACTCAAGTGATAGTTATCGACCCAAGGCAAGTGGGTATAGAAGTAATATTAAATAACCATCCCATGCCAGGTACTAGCAGGCTGGCCAACGTGGCTTCTTCAGGCTATCCCACAGCTTGGAAAATAGGGTGCTAGTTCAGAGATGAAAATAACTTGTCTCTATTACACTCAACTAGTCAGAGGCAGTTCAAGAGCTCAGCTTCCTTCTATCAGGTCCTGTAGGTGCTGGAGTTTGTATCTCCAGCTTCAAAACATACCCTAAAACGGTATCATAAGAGGATATTTACAGAAAAACATATTATTTATGTCTGACCCCAACTCCACAGGAATCTGGGCCTCAGTGCTCCTGCTTGTACAGAGCCGCAGAGCGTTAGTAACAGTACGTTCTAAATGTGGAGTATGTGGGCATACACCTGTACGCTAGCTTTTCCTCCTTGCCTTTGTCATACTCTTCCAAGCTACAAGTCGGAAAACACTTACCTAATTTCGTTTCAGGTATCTATTTGTCAGATTTAACATACATCGATTCGGCATACCCGTCTACTGGCAGCATTCTAGAAAATGAGCAAAGATCAAATTTGATGAATAACATCCTTCGAATAATTTCCGATTTACAGCAGTCCTGTGAATATGGTAAGTGTCTGGGGGATAATGCTAAGCCATTAATTACCATGTTGTACCTCTGCTGATTCATTTACACATGTCGATGGCCACTTTTCACCTGGTAGGAAACGTCATCTGAACATAAAAGAAATGATTGTTTTATTCAAATGTTTGGATGCTTTCAGTTTGATAGTGAATAAAGATAGGCTACTGATACGTAATTTTATGATATTAAAAAATAGTTTACATTATCTGATTTGTTTAAATTTGTCTTAAAGTTAACGTATGTGCATCTGTACTTTTAGGAAAACCTCAAAAACATCCTAAAAGTATATGTGTGGGGCAGAGGGGTGGAATAGGGAATTTTACTGAATGTTAAAATCAAATAATCTCTCGTTTTATTCTTTTCTCAATATTTTTACACATAACATCAAATTGTAATGTTAATCTTACTTGAAATTTCTAAGTAGAAGAGGAAAAAACTACAGTAACAAATGGAAGCCAGGCTTCCTTTAAAAAAAAAACAAAACTGCCTTACATCTTGCCTTAGATGAGGTTTGACTATAAATCACAATGAAGTCTGTTTTTTTCCCTATGAAATTTCTCAAATATGTGGGACTTTCTAAGTGGAGCTGTTTGGTTTTTTTTTAAAATCTATACAAGCAGCATGCAACTGTGATTTTCTAAATTACCTTCAGTTTTACATTAAATATTCACCCCAGTAATGTCCTTCCAGAGTTAATTTAAATTTTGATGCTATGTGGCCTTAATTTACCTTTAAATATATTTTTCTCAGCTTCACTTTTAAAGTTCTGGATATACTTTATGAGATAATTAATTACTTATCACATTTTGCCTAGATATCCCCATGTTGCCTCACGTCCAAAAATATCTGAACTCTGTTCAATATATAGAAGAACTACAAAAGTTTGTGGAAGACGATAATTACAAGTAGGTTCAAAAGTGGTTTGTATAACTTTGTACTGTCCTCCGCCCTCTCATCCCCACATATTTAAACATCGAAATCCTACATCACGTCACACAAATGCCTAATCTAGTTGGACATTGACGTGTGTCTTTTTTTAATCACTTAGTGTGTACAAATACTCATCTGTTCTTTTATTAAAAAGTTTTTCATCCTTCTCAAGTTGTCGAGAGCTGTGTTTGAGAGTTTCAGTTTAAATTTCTTCCTTTCTCTCTGCATTCAAGCATTGGATCTTTATGGAAATTTATCTTTTAATAGACTGAAAAATTAAACCCGCTTTAAATAGAAAAATCACTCCTTTTTGAATGGTAATTTTTGGCACATCTTCGAACTTGTTTTGAATTGTTTTTGTGGTTTGAAAGAATATTGAACCTTTTTGCCTTTATTAAAGATTTTTAAAATAGCAGATGTTCGTTTCCTTCTCATTACCATCCACTGTAGTGCCCAAGGTGGGAGGGAATGTTGAATTAATAACTCTGTATTTATCAGCGGTGTGCCATCCATCATAACTGCCAGGTTTTTTCCCAAAGGTGGGAGGATAAAGAGCTTATTTCACTTATTTTTCTTTTAGCTTCATTTGTTAATTTAAAAAATTTTTTTTCGTTGTTTAGCTTTATTATGCCAGTGGTTCAAATTTAACTTTGTCTTCCACAAATATTTTTTTCCAATAAAAGGTCATACTTTAAAAATTTATCAAAATGAAAGACTGGGTTATTTTTCAATATGAACGCTTATATAAAATTTTTTTATTTTATATGATAGGGATTATCAACTTTCTTGTTCCATAAGTTTCAACAATTTTTAAAAAAATTCTGCAGAACACAATACCAGTGAAAGGCTAGAAATTCTGGAAAACACCTAGAAATAACTTTTTTCCAAAGAATAAGTATATTAAGAAGCTCTGGAAATGTGCTTTAATGTATCTAAAATTTTCTTAATGTTTAAAAACACCTTTATTGCCGTCTCCTCCCTGTACCATGTTACCACTTTATATTTCTATTTCGGTTTTTGTTTTACACGAAGTTCTTACAGGTAACTCATTTGAAAATGTACATGGTCATTGGAGCAGCTTTCAAAGGCTGCAGTTGCTTCACACATCTGTTGCTGCCCTAGGCTGTCATCCTTTTGAGTCAGCAGTGCGATTCGCCCATAGCTTCCTTTCTGTTTCTTCTACTTTGGTTCTTTATTTGGAAATTGTAGTTATTTTGGTTTTCTTTGTCTTCCACCTACCAGACTGTGTGCTTCAGAAGGGCAGGGACACCATGTCTGTCTTATTCTCTGTTCTATTCCAGTGCTGAGGGCACAGTGCCCAACACAAAACAGGTGTTCAGTAACTCGCGAATGAATAAATTTGGTATAGTCTGTAGCCCAAATAATTAAACTGCTTTGTTAAAAGGAGCGGAGTGTTCTGGTTAATCATACAAGCATTTTATACTGTCAAGTAATTATAATTGTATATAATTCCCTCTTAGGTTACCGAAGAAATAATAAGAATCTATAATAGATTTATCATTATGAATGTCGCCTGTATTATGCAACTTCCTAAAAAATTCCAGTTGGCAGAATGCTAAAACATAAAATGCTTTTATTAATTTTCATACAAATGCTTAGTTAATAATAGGCTTTGTGGTCAACACCAAAGTATTCTCTACAACTGCTTTAGTCTCCTATTTCCTGAAATAGTTTCCACTGATAGAAATCATAATCTCTTTCTGCTGTGGAACTCAAAACTGAATATATGATCCTAAATGAAGCTTAAGTACCAACTATTAAACTTAGGACTTAGGACAGGGATGTACCAGGAATTTTACAAACAACCTTTTTATTTGTATAGATCTTTCTTTTGATAAGTTGAGTTGGTTGGTTTTTTGGACGGTTAGTTTAAATAAGGTATTTTAAATGTTTTTCAGTGCTACAGAAGCCATTAGCCCATCCAGTAAAGATTCTAGAAAGAATTGTCATAATGTATTTAATAATATAAAAGTTCCTGAATTAAAGTATCAGGTATCACTGTAACTTCCAAGTTAAATCACCTTTTAGTCCTTATCAGGTATCTTTAAAAGTGTTGAATTGTTTGTCAGTGTTGGGTAGTTTGGGGAGATTTTTCTATTTTTAAATATAACTTTATAATGTTTTTCCCCTTCCTAATATTTTCTGTAAGATCCTGTATATTCCTATATTTTCATAAGATCAGCTTTGTATGAAAGAGATAGGAGACTTAACTACTGAAGATTGCTCTTTAAGAAAAATACTTAGATGAGATTATTTTATAAAAACGTTTTTAGTTTCTTATGAGAAAATACATGATTATAATATTATGTTGTCAGCTGTTAATCATTTTATGTGTTTTGTTTCTTTCTAAAACACAGGCTTTCATTAAAGATAGAACCAGGGACTAGCACGCCTCGATCTGCTGCTTCTAGGGAAGACTTAGCAGGTTAGTGCATAGTTTTCTCTCATTGCCAAACGATGACTCTGCTAACCTAATAAGAAAGAATATACTTCAAAGTAAGTACTTAGCACATTTGATACTGCACTCAAAAAATTATTTTTAGTACTAAAATATAACATTTTTTGTTTGGGGTTTTTTTTTTTGGTTTATAATTAAAAAGTTGTTACTTGTAGTTCGTTGGTAATGTACAAACAAATATTCCAGTTAATCAAGAAAAATCGATACAACAGACAAAATAACAGATAAGTGTTTATAAATATTTATTTTTCCAAATTAAGAACATACTGTCCTAGGCAATGAGGGTCGATCACAGAAATTTCTGTGGTCTCAGTGAGAAATTCTACCCCTTTGAATAATTGTAGAAGTCCATTTTAATGAGTTAATTTTTTTAAATTGTACTTTAATACTGAGTCCAGTACTGAAAATATTAAAAAATAGTCCCTTAATTTACCCATTGCATTATGATGCGGTTATTACGTATTTACAACACATAATCAAAAAATATAAAACTGAAGAGAATTATTCATTATTTAAGAAATTCTGGATAAGTACCTTTTTTAAAATTTCAAATACAGACCTTGGTACTAAACTTCATATTACTATATATTCTAAAAAAATATTTGGAGACCTAAATAGTAAGATATGAAAGAAGCGAGGGAACAAGCCATGACAATATCTAGGGGAAGAGTATTCCAAGCAAAGGAAAGCATTTCAGTCTAAATCTCTCAAATTTGCTTTACTTTAGAATGATGTTTTGCTAAGTCAGACAGAGAAAGACAAATACCACATGATTTCACTTACATCTGGAATCTAAGAAACAAACAAAACAGAAACAAACTCATGGATACAGAGAACAAACTGATGGCTGCCAGATAGAAGAGGGGTCGGGGGGCTGGCTGAAGAAGGTGAAGGGATTGGGAAGTACAGATCTGCAGTTACAGATAGTGAAGGCCATGTGAAGTGATCGTAGGGAATGCAGTCAGTAATGTTATAATCAGGTGTGCTGTCAGGTGGGTGTTAGACTTATGGGGAATCGCTTCATAAATTATACAAATGTCTAATCACTATGCCATACACCTGAAACTGACATAATGAAGGTCAACTGTAATTGAAAAATTTAAAAAGAATGTAAAAATAAATAAAGTGATATTTTGCAAATCTGTGTACTTTTGAGTTTTATTTTTTGTTGTTCCCATAAGCCTGAACAAATGTCAGTACAGATGTTAGTTCTGACTTGAATGCCTGACTCGCCCTCCACCGTCTCTGAAAGGAGGCTGAGAGCGAGAGTAGAACCACGTGGACAGCTAAACGACACCTGGAAACCTGAGTGTTTAGTTCCGTCCGCCGTGCGAGACCCCGAGCCCATCCCTACTTCTGCTGCTTCCTCTGTAAAGGGGAGAGAATATTCCTACTGCCTAGTTAGCGCAAGTCAGATAGACAGAAATCAATGGATTTTGTATGTTTTAGGATTGGGGGTTTTAAGACTCAAAATATTTTTAATGTTCAGTCAATTAAACGGAGTTAACATATTAATCTTATCTTAAAATTTAAGCCACAGTTTATATTTTATATGCGGGAATTAAAAATTAAACAGTCCTTTGAAAACATTTGAAAATCTCTCTCTCTCTCTCTTTCTGTCTCTGTAAACTGAACCCTTAGGTCCTGAAGTAGGAGCATCTCCACACTGTGGAAGAAAGAGTATGGCGGCCGAGGGGGCCTTGCTGCTGCAGACGCCGGCGACCCCTCGGAACCTGATTCCACACGGACACAGGAAGTGTCACAGCTTGGGATATAAGTCAGCATTTTTAATTTTATCTTTCACATTGTTTTCATGGTTGCTAGTTGGATTTAGCTTCTATTTATTTTATTAAATAGGAAATAGTGTCCTTGCAGAGTTTTTTGTTTTCGTTTTTTGCAGTCATCTTTTTCTGATTCAGTAAAATATCTCGTTTGCCTAAAAGCGCTTATTTCCTCCTGTACCTTAATTTGGAAGTGAATGTTCCCAGCAGCGCCTCCACATTTGGGGGAGATAAATGGACATCACTGCGTATCATAAACACAATCAGGAAAGCAATATACTATTTTACTTTTAAATTATAACCTTTGTGTCAAGACAGTCATTGCTTGTCTTAACTGAAATAAGTCTCCATAAATCAAGGTTTATAAAAATTGTTCTTTTTATTCCTAAATAGAAAGAATGGGAAACTGAGTTTTTTTTTTTTCATTAGCTTTGCAAGATTGTTTTCTCAAAACGGGGTCCATGGGTCACCTTTGCATGATTTCTGTGAAAATTTAATAGCCATTTTCCAGAAGCGAATGTGAAAATTTTTTGGTGGACGTGAGACTTAAGGTGAAGTTAAAGTAGTCTCTGTTACATAGGTAGATATGGCCTGATTTCCTAAGAGTTTTTCCTAAACTGTTGGTTTGAGAGTTTTATGGTAAAATCTGTTCATTAGTATGAGAGTTCAGAAGGAAGCGCAGGATAGCAAGTAAACCTTTTATGTCCTGAATCTTTATATAAGAATATCTTTATATCCTGAATTAGTAACAGTAACAAAAGATGTAAAAAATATTTCTCTCTGTTTCCAGTTTCATTCATAAAATGAACACAGCAGAGTTTAAGAGTGCAACGTTCCCAAATGCAGGGCCGAGGCATCTGCTGGATGACAGCGTCATGGAGCCCCACGCGCCATCTCGAGGCCACGCCGAAAGCTCCACGCTTTCTAGCGGAATATCAATAGGTGAGGAGTATTTCTCTGAAAGGGTTCCAACTTACGTGGAATGAGATTTTTCACAAAACTCAGCTGGAAAAACATCATTAACTCTACTGCAAAAAGAGAAGATTTGATAAAAGCCAAGTAGCAGTTAGACATAGGATCGTCTTAGTAGTAGTACTGAAGGTCATAATTCGTGATGGTTTAAAAAGTGCTTGGTGTTTTTTACTGCAAAAGGGGAGGCATTTGAGGAATGGCAGGAGAAGAGTGTGGGCTGGCCGAATTGGTTACTGCGTGCAGCTGGGACGCGGGAGTGAGGGACAGGGCAGAGTCAGTATGACTCCCAGTTTTTTTGGACCAAGTAGCTGGTTGAGCTGGTTGGTGCTACTACTCGATGGAGAAGACTAGAGGAGCAGTCATTTGTAGGCAGCGAGGTATTGTGAAGGGTGGCCGGATTTGGGGAATTAAGAATTCTGTTTTGGAGATGCTTGGTCCATGTGGAGTAGTCAGGTAATCGAATGTGTGAGTTCAGAGCTCAGTGGGGTACGGTCAGGTCTATGGAAGCAAGTATAGGAGTGAGCATATTTATAGTATTCCAAGCCATGGGGCTGATGAGGTCACCTAGGGGGAGAGTGTAGATAAACAAGAGGACATCTTAACTTAGAGGTCTGATTAAGATGACGATGATGATGATGATGATGATGTTTGTTGTTGTTTTACAAAGAGATGGGCTAATAAAAGGACACTGCGAAGGAGGAGGGGCCAGGGAAGTAGGGGAAAGCCGGGGCATGGTATCACAAAACCCCGTAGAGGGAGTGTTTCCAGGAGGGAGGTGTTGAATGTATCAATATCAAATGCAAAAAAGAGAAGATGAGGATGGGTTTAACCTGTGAATTTCTCAAAATAACAGTCACTGATGACCTTGACTAGAGTCGTTTCATAAAATACTAGGGACAGAGCCTGACTGGAGTCGATCGGAGAATGAGAGGTGGGGAAAGAGCTCCGATGAAGGGGAGCGGGAACTTGGGGCCGTACTGAGCAGGGACGTGAGAGTGCGAGGAGAATTTGTTTTCACTTCCTAACCTTTTATTTTCTGAATCTTCTAGATGGGCATGATTTCTTTTGATAATTAGAAAATCCCCATACAATGCTATTTTTATTTTTAAAAAGAAATAAAGAAGGAAAGTGTCCTCCTCTGTGATGGCCAGGTTTACTCTACGGCTATTATTGATGTTAATGTGATCATCTTAATATTGATGAACCATCAATAGAAGGAAATGCAGAAGGAGTTCGTTTTCTTGAACATACTGACTTTCTTAACCCTTGAAAATTCCAAACCCTGAAAATTAAATTGCTTTAGAGCTTTACAGCACTGTTCAACTGTTTTTATTCCTATACTCCCCTTTTTATAAATGCAAATGATTAAATGATGACAAAATATGCAAAATAGAAGACAAGTTGGCCACCTGAAATACCTCTTTATTAATGCTATAAGTTACCTATATGCAGATATCAACCTCAGTCTGAAAAATAATGCACAAAATAATTTTGGAAAAGAGAAAGGAACTTATGTCAGTTAAAAATGGTTACACTTATAGAATCCTGCATGCCACTTGAAGCAAAAATTAATAATTTTTTAAATTACAGCTCATAATTTATGTGTGTGTGTGTGTGTGTGTGTGTGTGTGTGTGTACATGTATAAAATATTTGGCTTTTTCCCATCATAAGTATTATAAGTATGATTCTCTAGCTTATTTATGGCTTTTACTTTCCATAGATATCTGGTTATTTCATTTAGTTATAGTTAACGTCTTAGTTTGGAGATCTTTCTCTTAGAACAAGTAGAGACTAATTTTTGGCCTTTATCTCTTTTAATTCTATATTATCTTAAGTAGATAAACAGTGAAGATTGATAGATCTTTGTTTGTAAATTAAGAACATTAGACATAGGCATTACCTCCTAGGGTTTTGTTGTAAAGCTTTAAAATTCTGAAAAGAAAGACTATAACCATAACTGATAGGTGTTAATATGCATGCACACAAACTCACATTTGTAATCACAAAAGCATGTTTTCATTAGTTGTGACTTTTATACTCTTTGTTATTCTAATTTGTTACATTAGTAGTCTTATCAGCTATATTCCAATATATTGCAAAATAAATCTATCAGCATAATATTAGAATGAAGTATTAATACATGGATGTTCACCCACAAATAACATGATTGCCATTTTATAAGCACAGTTGTAGAAATGATTTTTAAAATCAAAAATTCAAACTGATGTTTAAAAGATAGAATAACTTTTGATTTTAGGTAGCAGTGATGGTTCTGAACTAAGTGAAGAAACCTCATGGCCTGCTTTTGAAAGGTAAGAAAAAGTGTCCATTTGAACTACTTTTAGTTTATTTTGTCTTTCTTAAAGTATATGAATAATATAATTCACACATGAATTCATATATGATAATATGAATTTTAAGAGATAATATTTATTACTATCTCTAATGGCCTATTAGCTTCCTGCTTTTTTTTTTAGAAATTGGTATTTAAGTCTGGAAATCAGTTTTTTCTAATAAATATATGTTTGGTGGCTTGACACATGTATATGAATTTAGTACATTTCAAATTATAACTTAAAAGCAGTAACAGTCATAATCAACTTATCTACTTATACATTGAAAAATAAAATTATTTTCTTCTGGTCGATTTAAATAATTTAAGACATTTAGTAGAATAGTCAGCTTCATTCTCTGCTACTTTATTAAGGGCAAAATGACTTAGTAAAATTTAAATTATAATGTAAGTAAAGCAGCTTGAGGTTTGAATTTAAACTGTCAAGAACTCAAAGTTTGCACAGAGCACACAGATTTATAGTGAAATACTGTATTATACTTCCTCTTCCTCATTGCTTTAAGCTGTAAAAGCCACCAACAGCCTACAGCAAGTGTCATACTATATTGATCTCCAGTATAAGATGTCCTCAGGAAACGCAGGCAAACAGTGCAAGTAATGGTTTTTACTAAATGTTCATTAGGACTTTGTCTCTGACCATTTCAGTTCTGCTATTTCTGTACTTAGAAGATACTTGACTCTTGACTGAAATAATTGCTCTTTTTTGTATATAAACCTAAGCAACCTAAGTTTCTAAGCAACGTTATCGTTTAGATTGAATTTCGAATGTCATATTAAAATCGATGGAGTTGAAAATAGTTATCTACCTCCCTATCAGTGACTTTGTAATAGAAAACAGTTATACTATCTATAAAGTTAAAACTAAACTACGTTTGATTTGGTTAATTTCATGTTGTTTAATTGGAAAATTATATCCTTATTCTTGATGACACTTCCTAAATAATTCTCACCATTATGTAATTAAGAAATCCAATATTTCAAAGTACTTTTAAGCCTTTTTACACTGTCAGTGTTGCCAAGTTTTGATCTCTTTGTTTTGGGGAGTTCTTACAATTTGTTTTTGCATATTATTCCTCTTTCAACTTTTACTTTCAATTTCTTTATTTGGGTTTGCCTGAAATCAGAAAAACACAAGAGTTGCCTCTGGCATGCTGTCTGTACAAATCGTCTTAGTTCTTTCCCTGTAAAAGAGCATAATACCATCATGTTGATCATAGAGTGTATTGTAATCTTTAGACAAAAAACATCAATGAAGAAAATTGTTTCTCAAATCACTTGACATGTAAGTGAGCAACCAGCATGGCGTTGTAATAGGTAATCTGTTCTCATCCCAGCAGGTGACTTTTGAAGACAGCATTTAACGGTGTTACCTTCACATCTCAAAACAATATTTTCCTTTCATGACAAATGTTTTGCTTTGGAGACATTTGCAGTTAAAAAAAAATCTACCGTACTTATGTCAAGTTTAAATCAGTGGCGCTTGGAACATTTGGAGAGTAAATTAATGCTGCCTAGCAAGAGTCAGACATGAAATAATAATTTAATAAAGAACTAGGTTTAAAATAACCACCTGTATATAATGAACTTGATATGTTAAAGATGCCATTTTTTGTTCTTATTTCCTAGAGAAAAGTCAAATGCTTTGCTGCTTAAGTTGCTAAAATAACGTCTTTTGTTTTCAATATCATTTATCAACATGCTACTTTTGGCTTTTCCTAGGCAAAGAAGTATCAGTGTTTCTATGTATGTGTGTTCATTTCGTTAAATATTACATGCCATTTCGGATAAATAAATATTAACTCATCATTTTTATCATTTATTGGCTTATCATTTATTTCAGTTGATATGGAAATAATAATGCCTTTAATTATTAGTTTCTCTCTTTTATAAGTGTTCTTGGACTCAATATAAAAGATAGGAAGGGAAATAAGGTGTTCTGGCCAAATTCATTTTCAGTTTACAGGCCACATTGCCTTTAGGTGTCTTCATAGGGACATATAATAAAAATGAATTATTTGTATGAGTCCAGGTGTCATAATTAAACTGGAATCCAAGAACTAGAATAGAAACAAAAGGATTTTTGAAGCATTTTTCAGGCTTTGATAGTATCTGGTTATACACAACTCTTCATTTTAGCAGATTTGGGAAAGTGAATGTATAAATAAATATATATGTACTAAGCTGCCTTTAACTTTCTAGCGTCAACAGTAAAAGAAAAAAACTTTGAAATCTATGATGCATGCTTTAAAAAAAAAAAAACAATCACATACTAACCTTTTAGAAGACTTAGAAAGCTATATTACCAGAAGAAATTATACTGTTCTAGGTATTGATGATGCTTATGTGAATAAAAGTATATGTAATATTATCAAATTTATAATGGAATCCAACAGGAACAGATTATACCATTCTCTCGGCCCGGTGACACGAGTGGCACGAAATGGCTATCGAAGCCACGTGAAGGCCAGCAGGTACAATCCCCCTGCGTTCAGGGGCCACAGAACTCCCCTCTGGTGTTGGTGATTGGCTTACACGGGTGTGGTCTTACACTATTTCTGTTCTTTTTCAACTAATTGGTTTAAAAACTAAAAAACTGCCCAGGAAATCTTCGTTTCCGAGGTTTAATCTAGAGATGAATTTGAACTCTTCTTTCTGATCCACGGACCTAATCACTAAAACTTGCATCTGTGTCACATTTTAAAGATAATTCCAAGTTGGTGGCTTTTTAACTGCACCGGTTTTTCTAATGCTGCTAGCTATTGGATGAGCAATACAGAAATCTGCTGATTATTCAGAGGCTACAATCAAAGCACTTGCTTTGCTAATATGTCTACATTAGATTGGTCTTTTGAAAGTTGTTTTAGATAAACTGCAGATGCTGAAGTTAGACTAGTCTACTTTGTAAATAATAGTTGTTTATTTAAACTCGGTGTTCATTCCGTTGTTCATCTAGTTAAACCAGGCCTCTTTCTGTACTGCATCAGCTGCAGGAGAAAATATGGATGGTGGATTGATTTGTGGGCTGGAAGTTACTGATAATGCCTAATCAACCGATTCACAGTACAACAAAATAACCAACTTTAGAAGAAAACTTTATGTCCATTTGATGGTGTCTAATCTCCTTTTGTATACCTCCCTGAATATAAATAGCTCTGGCCTGAAATTTTTAGCGGTTTCTAGGCTTTTAAGTCACTTTGAAGACACCTAAATAATCCTAAAGGGATAAGATGGCAAACGTCAGCAGTGTTCTTCGCTGTTGTAACTTCTGCAGCTCAAGTCAGATCACCAGAGAATGACAGGTCTTTATTAGCATGTTTTAGTTGACGTGTAGAAATTATTCTTGTTTTAAATATAGGACTTTAAATCAGTTGGGAAAAGATATTTAAATGTTTGATTATTTTGTGATGATTTTCTTAAGATACATGAAAAGGAAATACTGGGTTTTGGAGTTACTCCTTTCTTCAAGAGCTGTTAGGCTATAATCAAACCCTTTCACATCGAGAGCATTTAAATGTCATTAAAATGTATTGCAGAAAACCAATTTTTTAAATATGTTGTTATTTTATTTGTTCACCTATTTTAGAATTAAATTCAGCATGGGTTTTCTTTTTTTCTTTTTTGAGCTTTTTTTATTTTTACTTTGAATTTTATATGCTAAAATACTTTTAACAAATAGAATCTTCATTTTTCCTACCAGGATTTAAAGTTTCTAATGGGCCAGAAAAAGTTTACAGCAGTGATGCAGTGTGGCATGTTAAGAAGAAAAGTCTTATTAAATCTTTTGCTTAATCTTTACTAAAGTGAATTACCCTATTCTTTCTCAATTACACCTGTTCAAATGTGTAATAAAATGTGTGTTTTTTAACTATCTGCTGATTTGAACGTCCTGATTAACTTTCGTGACAGCTTATAAATTTCAGATCAATAAACCTTTATAATTGTGTCTTCTCATTCTGAATAAAGTAGCAAAGTTTTAAAGTTAAGAATAATTACATTTTATTTAAGTACCTACTTGGTAACTACTATACTAAACTCTTAGCCTGTGTTTTTCTTCATTTCGTTGTTGCAGTTCTGCAGAATCAGAAGATTTGGCAGTACATTTATATCCAGGAGCTGTGACTATTCAAGGTGTTCTCAAGAGAAAAACTTTGTTAAAAGAAGGCAAAAAGCCTAAAGTAAGATGTTATATTTTAACATTTCTAAAAATATACAAATGTATAAGATCTTAAAAAATATGAAGAGTTGAAATAAAATCACATGTATAGTGCACTTGAAATAATTTAAGATATATATTTCTTAAATTATGTTTCTTAATTTATATTTCAATTAACTCATGAGGATGCTTAAATCATGGTGCCCTCATACTTCTCTGCCGTCTAATATAGTTCTTATTCAAAACTGTTTCTCAGAGAACCTTGAAGCATATACTCTTAAGAAGTATTTTAATAATAAGTTTAGGAAAAATAAAGACTAGAAAGTAACAACTCTATAAAATGGAATCAAACCAATTTTGTTTTGTCTGTTCTAAATCGTTTAACTCAGTCATGCAGTGTTGTTTTCCCACATGAACTAGAACCCAGTGATTAAATGTCCTCTAAACCATAATCATATTAAAAGAAAAAAAAAGTTTGGTAGAACAAAGTTTCTCATATGTAACACAAAAGTTTGTTTTTTCCCAATAGCAACACAGCAGTTTGCCTACTAAAAAAAATTTTTTTTTCTTTTCTCAAATAACATTATAATTCATCTAATTTGGAATGAAAACTTTGATGTGTATCCACACTTAAAGTTTCTGAGGATATGAGGGCTTCTTAAAATATCAAAATTGTTTAAGTGGTCTGATTTTTCTGCTTACATTACAATCTCGAAGCTACACTAGACCAGCTAGTGAACTGAGAATAGCTCGTCAGTTGAGGCATTACCACATGTATGGCACGGCAGATGCCAGAAATAGAGCAGTGAACACGTGCCTGCCTCATGGGGATGACGTTCCAGTGAGGAGACACAGGAGATCGGCCCTTAAAATAAGGTGATGGGATGGAGAATGATGGGGCGAGCAGAGATGTCACCGTAGCGAGGCTTCTGAACTGAGATCCGAATGAGGAAGGTGAGGCGTCCAGGGACAGAGCTCAAATCCAGGGTGCAGGAAGGGCTGTGTGGCTGAAGCACCGGCCGTGGAGGAGGAGGGAGAGAGGAAGTCACAGACTAGAGCTGCGTGACGGTGTATGAGATGTGACGTGCGAGGAAAGGGTTAAAGCGAAGAATCCTTTGGGGTTTTGGACTGAGCTGAGTGAATATTGGGGACATTTATTGAAATCGAAAGGTTTTTTTGAGAGGGGGCAGATAAGTCTTAGCCATGTTCAGTTTGATATGCTTATTAGACATTTAAGGGGAGATGTCAGTTTGGCTCTTTAAAAAGTACAGTTCAGAACGTCAGCAGAGAGGGGGCGTGGCCCGAGAAAGGGATTTGGGAGTCATTAGCATACAGGTAGCATTTGAAGTGTGGACCTGGGTGAAATAGATTATCTATGAAGAAAGTGTAGCTGGGGGAGATTGAACTAGCGTCAGGGTTAGATCAGGAGAGCAAGGCAATGAGATTCAAGTATTGGGAAGGGAATGGGTATGGTACTGGACCATGCAATGCAGGCTAAATATAAAGAAAGGGGAGGGAGGATATGGGATAGGGAGGCCATGGCAATACTAGGTAATATTAAACAGTGATAGATTCTTGATGAGATCAATAATTATCTCAGTGTCAGGTGGAGGTGGTGGGAAAGTGCGGCGCTGAGGTGAGGCTGGGATGCCGGCAGCACGTTAGTAGTGTATTCACGTGGCATACTCCTGTCTGTCCTCTCCAGGTAACATCTTGGACAAAATACTGGGCAGCTTTGTGTGGGACACAGCTTTTTTACTATGCTGCCAAATCTCTAAAGGCTACAGAAAGAAAACATGTAAGTATTCCTCTAACTCGTCAGCATTGTTTCACAGCTTCTTTCCAGTTGTAAAGGAAGTAGTCCTAATGGAATGCAATGGTTTGGGGTTTTTTCCGTATTCTAATCCAGAAGTTCCTAAATCTATTCCTTATTTGAGTGTTGTAATAGAATTTTTTTATTTAGTAAGACTATTCCAAGGAAAGTCCTGGAATAACTTCCCTATTTAGAAGTTTCTTTTTTGAATGCTATTTTTCCATTGCAAATGTCAAAACCGCGTATTACAAATATCTATCTTGGCATCGAAGCCTTCCCAAACCTGGGTTTCTTGTTCAGAAAACAGTCGAAAACTACTGTCTTGTAGTCTCGGTTCCTAATCTATAAAATGTGAAAAGTTGCAAACAACATCTAAAGAACTTTTCACCTCAATCTCTGATTGAGTGATTTTCCCAGCAGTGAAAAGGAATAATCGTTACCATGGTTACTAAGGTCCACTTTCTTGTGCTTCACATTACTTCAAAGAAGCCTCTCAATGCTCATTTCTCCAAATGCAGAATCTTTCTGTAAATCCTTTTTGTATGCTGTTTTGTTTTTATGTGTCAGCGATATATCTTTGAAAGGAAGAATAACTTTCCCTGTTGCATTAATAAAATCTCTTGGAGAGGAATTTTATTTTTAAATCGTGTATTTTGTGGAGGAATTAAGTAGTTTACCATACTGAGGAAAGGCAAGCCACTAAAAAAAAAATTGTCCTTTTACTACTTTAAAATAACCCAAATGACACTACATAATTATTTACTACAGTTTAGCCTTTTAAACAAACCAGAGGTATATGAGAGTACATTTTTTGGTTTAAATGAATCTGGGACGTGCCATTAAGATCGCATCGCCTTCTTTCTTTACCAGCCATACCCACAGCCTGTCACTGTCCTGAATTTCATGTCGATCATTGCCTTGCTTTTCTTCAGCATTTACCATGTATGTTTCCTTAAAACATTGCTTCGTTTTTTAACCGTACATGAATGGAGTCATATACATTAGCCTTTTTATTCACTGTTACAATTGTTTAGATGGAATCCTCACATTGAGGTAAAGGACTATTTTCTTTTTCATTCTGGTCATATTGACTATAATGACCACACATCTGACAAAGTTGCACACATTAGTTTCAAAACCTAAAATATTTTGCCTCTGATTAGTACTGCTGTACTTAAAGGGGAAAAAAAAAAAAACGTAGATGTAGCTCAAGTAAATTCTTTGTCTTAAAATATAGGTAACTCTTCACGTAGGCCTTTTTGACACTTGGCTGGGTTTTGCTTAGTTGATGATTATGAAAATAAATAAAATAAAATGTTTTTCCCTAACTTTGATTATAAAGAATCCAAATTAGAATTGATAACTGAATTTCTCACCTACTGCATATGTTAAATATTTTTATGTATGGAGTTGCTACTTATTAATAGCATATTATGATAGTTTGGTTTTCTAATTATATGAGATTTCTGATAAACTGTGTATATGAAAATGGTAAGAAATTAGAGCATAGGGGGGTTATGAGGAAATCAAATCAAGTGCCAAAGAAATAGACCATATTTCTCATCTTTTTTAAGTTAAAACTGTTGAGATTAAAGAATTATAAGAGCAAGATAGAGGATATAAAGACAGGTCGAAGTTTATATTTAGTATATATTTTAGGATAGAAGAGAGAATGATCCAGAATAAAAGCAATGAAGGAAAAAATGTTTTAATTCTTTTCAAACAAAATTGAAATACAAATTGGAAGAAAATATAAAATAAGCAACAGATAAAGAATTAAAGTCTATTATATAAACACTGCACCACCTATGTAGCGTTCCTGCCAAAAATTTAACCCGAATCTAATTGTCAGGAAACAATCAAATCCAGATTGTGGGACATTCTGCAAGATAACTGGCTTGGATTCTTAAGAACAGAATTTGACAGAATGGGATAGGGGAGAGGAGGATTGTTTTAGATTAAAAGAGACTGAAGAGTCTTCACAGCTGAATGCAATATATGTACCTTGGTTGAATCCTGGAGATAATTAAAAATAGATATGTATAAAGACCATAATTGGGACTATTGAAGAAATTTTAATATAGACTTTATATGATTGTATTTATTTTCTTAAATATGATACTTACATTGTGGTTATATAGGAATATATTCTTAGACACATGTTGAAATATTTAGGGATCAATGTTATGTCTACAACTTGCATTTAAATGTTCCAAGAGATCAACCAAATGCCAGATGTAGATATATGGATAATCACTGTAGCTTTTTCTTTTTCAACATCTCTGTAGTTTCAGTCTCTTCAAAATTAAAAACTGTATGAAAAAATCACTAATGAAAATATACTTGTTTCTATATGTATATAAATATTTTTTTACTATCTAAAGTTTACAGCTTTTGCCTCTGAGGAGCAGAGTAGGCTTGGAAGGTAGAGTAATTGGGGAGAGAAGAGAGACTATTATTTTATTATGTCTACTTTTTTTAATGTTTTAAAATTAAAACATTCACTCAAATTTTTTAATGGAAGTATATCGAGTATTCATTATAAAAAATTTTTTTTGCAGCTATGTTTTGAACTTATCCTTACATGGTAATGAATGACTGAATGAATATTGTTTGATTAAATTTTAAAAACCGAGACTACCTGAAAAAGAAATCTGTAACATATATAGACCTTCCACTACTGAGCAAGAATAAAACAGAACAATAGCAAAATGGAAAAGGGAGATATGTAGAAGATGAAATATAAATGTCTAATACACATGGGAAGAGGATCAGCCTCATTGGTTATCAGAAATGCAGATAAGGGAAGCTGCCTTTGTTTGTTTGTTTTGTTTTGCAGTCAGGCAGAAATTTTAAAGATTGAGAATACAGTATTGGCCATGGTGCAGAGAAACAGACTGTCATCTATGGTCGGCAGAAATTTAAATTAGTATTGTTTTCATGGTGGCGGTCTTGGCTATTTCTGGTCCTTCACTTCTTGCATATAAATTTTAGAATCAGCTTATCAAGTTCCACATAAAACCTTAATGGAGTTTTTATTGAAATGACAATGAATCTGTAGATCAATTTAGGGATAATTGAAATGTTTACAACATTGAATCTTTTCCTTCATCTCATGGTATTTCTCCATTGATTTAGGTCTTCTTGAGTGTCTTTTAACTGTTATACTTTCTGCTAAGTCTTTTGTTAAATGTATTCGTAGGTACCCTTCTTATAAATGACTTTTGTATTCCTAGTGTATAAAATTACGCTTGACTTTCATGTTGATCTTTTCCAAACATCCTCGCTGGTGTTCCTTATTAGTTTGGTAGATTTAGGTGTATGTTCTGTGTAGCTGATATCACCTGTGAGTAATAGTAGTTTTATTTCTTCCTCATCCTTTTTTTTTCTTATCTTACTGGTCTGAGTAGGTCTTTTAATTCAGTCTTGAATGAAGGTGGCAGTGGTGGGCATCCTTATCTGAATGCTGATTTTGAACATTTTACCTTTAAGTGTGTGTGTTGCAGGGTTTTGGGTTTGGAGTTTTTTTTTTTTCTTTCTTGCTTTGTTTTGGTTTAGTTTTTGTGAGTGTTTTTTGTTGTTGAGTAGATACTCTTATTGAATTAGGAAGTTCTCTATTTCTAGTCTGTCATAAATATGCATTATATTTTAGCAAATGTTTTTATTTTACATCGACTGAGTTGATCATATTTTTTTTCTCTCCTAATCTGTTAATATGGCAAGTTACTTTAATAATTTTTTTAAACTAACTATACTTTCTTGAAATAAACCCAGCTTAGCCACGTTAATTGACTTCTAACATTAAACCATCCTCATATTCCTGGGATAAATCCAGTTTGGTCATCATGTATCACTTTTTTATATACTGCTAGATTTGGGTTACCAATATTTAATTTTTTTTATTTCATTTATGAATGAAATTAACCTAATTTTCTGTTCTTTTATAACAACCCTTTTTTTGCTACTAAAGTATAACTTAAATAGAAAAGTAACAAGCATGTTAAGAATACTTTTTTTTAGACTGTATTATTAAGAATTGTCCGATAGCACTGCTTGTTTATTAAATCATCCGGTTTAAGATAACACCCCTATAACATTGTACGCCTTAAACTTACACAATGTTATATGTCAATTATATCAATAAAACTAGAGGAAAAATGATAACACCTTTATTAAAATGCAAGTGCGTTTCTTATAAGAAAGAGGCAAGGGGCAGCAAAGTAACAGAAAAACAACATAGGCGAATTTATCAGTCCACTAATAGATCGTGCTCTTTGGGAACGGACACTAGGACAGGTAGGTATTGGTAAAGAGTTGAAGCTGGGAAAGATCTGGAAAGCAGGAGACTATCTAGAGATAGTCTAGGTGCCTAGATGGAATCATAGTCTAAGGCCCCAAGTAGACCTGACCAGCACGAAGTCACAGATCTCATCTCTCACTAAGAGAAAGAGAAAATACGTCCTGTGGCACTTAAATTTTACTTAAGACGAGCTATGAAGATAACCATTAATTATCTTTTTATCTCTCAGTTCAAGTCAACATCAAATAAGAATGTGTCCGTGGCAGGATGGATGGTGATGATGGCCGATGACCCGGAGCATCCAGATCTCTTCCTGATGACTGACTGAAAGGTGAGTCGTTAGCATGACTAGAGGTCAAGATGCTGCTTACACAGGACTTTGGATAAACCAAAACCTAGTTTAACTGAAATACTCAACCTGGTAGGGTTTGTGTAGTTTTACCTCTTGGGAAATATTTCCTTCACATAAGGTATGGCAATGATATCATTATTTTAAATATCAGTTAATATCTATGAATTGTTTCTTTAATAAGTTTATTAAACAAGCTATTTTCTTTGCTGCAGGGCATAAGCTCGAAATTAAAAGCCCAAGGAATCCCTAGAGAGCTAGTTACCAGGCAGGCAGGAGGAAAAGAGGGAATTTGAGAATCTATAGGCCACTGTTACCTTAAAATCTCAGAGATTTGCCATGTATGCAGTACCTTCACTTACACCCTGAAGCAAATTGTTATTCTTAAGTTCTGAATATGGTGGAAGTTTTCCTTTAAATGATTTTTAATTAAATTAATTGCTTATTCGACTCAAAGCACTTTGCAAAGAAGTATAAATTATAACAGTTCACTTATACTACATAGAGACATTTATGAATAAAATTATTGGCTGCCGACTATAGGAGTTTTTTAAGTGGAGGGTGGGCTGCGTAGAATCATTTCATACCTCCCGACCTTGCTCGTGCCTATGGGGAGATCTCGGGTGGTCGGTCATCAGAACAGACCCTGACGTGACTGCTGCTCTTCCCTCGTGACAGCTGTCGATAAGCACACAAAGGGAGCCCCAAAGGAAATGCCTTCATATCTGCCCAGAATCTTCCAGCAACTCACAATGGAAATATCACATTACCTTTTATTGACTGTACAGTTACATTTTGACCTGTATTCAAAATGCATTTTATATCAGTAGATATTCTGCTTTTAGGTTATTATGGTGTTTTAAGTAAAAACGTAAGTAATATATGTTGGATACAAAAAAGTAATAATTGTGGCCAGCTCAATTGTAGGAATGCCTTCTATTAGATTAATCTAATATCCGCATCTGAGTTCAGCCTGCAAAACAGAATTTTTGAATAATTAACATTTGGAGAAGAAAAAGTATTGCTTCTAAAAGTGAAAAAGTTCTTTGTTAGAATCTCAAAGAAAAGCTGCATTAATGCCTAAATATAGCTCCTGTGCCATTGAATGCAGTTATAAAAGAAAGTAAAAATCGGTGAAAATTGGGAAACAAAATGAACTTAGATCAATGAAAAAAGAGAATAAAGCTCAATTTAGGGCAATCTGTAGTACATAAATCCTTTCTTTTCTCAATTTATCTTAATACATATAACCATATAAAAATGCTTATTATTTGTCAGTCCTGAATTAGACTGACATAAGATCTGCTAAATACACACAACACAGATGAATTTCTGATTTTCTAAAAGAGAGAAAGGTATCTCCTCAGATTTTTCCCAGAAAGCCCTCAGTAAACCTGTAATAATTTCGACAGATATAACTAAAAACTAAAGGCATAGCCGATATTGAGGTCGGCTGATTAACCTTTAATCACAGTATATAGCTAACGTCTAAATGTTAAACAGATGAAGCGTTTTGGCCTGTAAAAACTTCATATTAAAATCTAAGACATATTAACATCTAAGAGATCATCTAAGCAGTACTGAGAACAGATATTCTGTGCTCTCATCCACACACAAATCTAGAGAAAGCAAACAATTTTATTTAGATATACTTTCCTCTAAAAGAACATATAAGGAGACAAAAGTACTTCTCTTTCAGTTCATAAACAGCAAAACAGTGACCTTCTGCATAAACAATGCCACGTAAATGTGGCTCAGAGAACTCTCTGTACTGGAAAATCAGGTGTTGGAAGAATAGAATTATGAAACTGAGAACTCTCGTCACATTTTAGTTTGCTCTTTGGTAGCTGGCATAATTATTATATGTCAGAGTCCTTAAATTTTAATTATTTCTCCCTTGTTTTGATTTTAGGAAATTCATACAAGTTTCAAGCTGGCAATAGGATGAATGCAATGCTGTGGTTTAAGCATTTGAGTGCTGCCTGCCAAAGTAACAAACAACAGGTGAGCATTCCTATTAATTCTCAAACAGTCCACAACTTGGGCGTGTATTTAAGAGTGTTCCAAAGAGAAGTAAGTAGACTGGTTTCCCGAATGAAGTGGGAAAGTGGTTTTGTTTTTATTCTTCTTGACAGCAATCAACAAGACATGAAATCCAGATTTTAGTGAGGAGATGGGCAATAAACAAGTGAACAAATAAAATTTCAAACAGTGAAAGCTACATAAAGAAAACAGAATTATGTGATGTAAGGTGGTGGTAGTAGAGGCAGCCTTAAACAAATAGGAGCAAGCAGCAAAGACCTCTGTAAGGAGATGACGTTGACCTGAGTGAGAAGGAGGAACAGCCCCACGGAGACCAGGGAAAGCAGTTCCAGCAGAGGAATCCAAAAGTGCAAAGACCCTGATGCCGGAACGAGCTTAAGGTGTTCAAAACAGGGAAATGGAGGCCACGTGGGCAGAGTACGGTGCGAGGCAAGGGAATGTAGCTCTAGAGAGGGCGAGAGTTAGCGGCACTCCAAATTAATAAAGTTTGTTCTGATTCATCTTTATTTGTTCTGTTGGCAACTTGATGAGGGTTTCTGTGGTTGCAGTAAAACCAAAACCATTTGGATTTTTTTGCGTTTATTTTACTGAAACAAAGAAGGTCTAATTCAACAGCTTTCAGCTGCCAAGGAGAATTAATCCCTAGTGCTGTTTTCCCCAAAATCCCTGTTGCAGTCTTAGCATTGAACCGCACATCGGTTGGGCAGACATAAACTCTCTATACACTTTTTTATAGCAGTTCTTAGTTGAATATATTTGAAAACCATTGGTTTAAGGTACTGAAAGATGGAAGTATACAGTGTTATCAGCTAATTTTGAATAATATACTATGTAAGTTTGTAAACTTTATGAAAGTATTTTCCACCCTGTGCTGTCAGGACCCAAGTTATTACCCTCTCTGCGATAAAGGAAGAACCTAAGGCCCAGAGCTGCTAAGCTTCCTGCACAGGGCCCAACAAGTAAAACTGGTAGACCTGAGACTTAAGCTCTGTCCTCATCCTTTAGGTCCGTTCCTCTTAAGTATTGTTGGAATGGGCCTTGTTCTCGTATGATTTTTATTTGACGTACATATGAAAGACTAATAGCAGTATTTGGTACCATTTTTAGCAACTTCCATGAAGGACATGAAATGCCATACAGCAAAAATTACTCTCTCACCTTTGTCAGTTAGTGTCTGGGACGGAATGAAAGAAAGGGACCTTTTGCCTAGACTGCGCTTTTTAGGACTCCGTTCCATGCTGTACGCTTTTTTTAAATGTAGCTTAAGGAAAGTATTTAGTGTCATTTTTTAAAATCTCAGATTTCAGGGTTAATCTAGACGGTGTATGCATACCCACGTAGGGGTTCAGTTTCTCTTACTGTGTTATTGGACCTTCCTGCTTAACGAGTCAGCCAGATGTGTGTAAACAGGTTTTGTTTGTTTCTTTCTATACCTGCAAGAATCAGAGTAGTGACAAATTTATAAATAAAAGCTATAAAATCTGAAAATTTTTAGTAGAAGACTAATTGACTCAAATACAATATACCTCAGACCTCATTCAGGCAACTTAGGAAATGAAACTTTTACTTTATTTAAATATGGGTTTCTTAAGGCCAGACCTGAGAATTTATACTTAAGCACTTGAGCATTTGCATTGTATTTGATTTGTAATTCAAGTAAAATAATTTCTCATTTAGAAGTTGACATGTGTAGGAGATCCATTTTTTTAAATATCTTAGGTTTTTAAAAAAAGATGGTAAAGAGTAAGCTGTTAAGCTGTTTTTATTAAATTTATTGGGATGACATTGGTTAATAAAATTTGAATAGGTTCTAGTGTACAGTTCTGTAGCTCATCATCTGTCTGTCGCATCGTGTGTTCACCACCCAGAGTCAATTCTTCTGTCGCCATATGTTTGACCCCTTGACCCTTCTTTACCTCCCACCACCCCTTTTCCCTGTGGTAACCACTAAACTGTTGTCTGTGTGTCTGAGCTTTTGTTTGTCTTCATTTATTGCTTTTGGTTTTATATCCCACATATGACTGAAATCATATGGTTGTCAACTTTTTCTCTGTGACTTATTTCATTTAGCATGATTATCTCAAGATCCATCCATGTTTGTTGAATTTCAGACTTGTCAAGAAATCAAATTAAATTTGATCCAATCTATAAGCAGCAGACTTATAAAACCCATTGATTTTTAAGTCACGAAGTGTCAGAGCAGAATTTATCTAACAATGACTTTTATTCTTTTATATTTATTTTCATGATGATTTCACAAAGAAATTTTTAGTAATGTTTGTTATAAAATTATCTGCGCCGGATCTGAAAACTTGAACGTAGGAGCGTGTCGTAATACATGCAAAGGAGAAAACAAAGGACGACAAGGGCGTCTGGAATCGCAGCCTGCTAGAGCCACACTTATTTCCTCATTCGTTTATTCACTTGTGTGGGACACCAAAGATACCGTCTTTACCCTTCGTCCTCTCCAGACTTCACTTGACTGGAAAGGGAGCGTTAGCTCATCTCAGTGATCTTCTCCAAAAACGTCCTAGCATATTTTACTCATGGTTCATGAATGATTACAGTACCTTCTATCACATTCCTTTTTTTAAAGATATCTTGGACCAGAAAAACTTTAATACCTGGGCTTTCTTAAAATGACGAGGAAAGATAAACAGTATTTTAAAAAACAACTTTTAAATGCTGTCAGTTTGTAATGCTTCTATTCTTTAGGTTCCTACAAACTTGATGACTTTTGAGTAAAAGCCTGAGAAAGAAGAGAGGCGACTTGCTGCTCCCAAGCGAGAGCAAGGACCTGATGACAGAGCGCCAGCGAAAAACCAGTCCTGTGCCAGGAGGAGCCCAGAGGTCCGTCTCAGCCTTTGGAGTTCTGAACCCAAAAAAGCACTAATGTCAGGGAATGAAGTGAGACATTCCCAGAGAACAAATCGAGTTGCAAAACAAACTGCCATGGACCTGCTTCTCATCTCTGAACCGACCTGCAGAAACCACTGCCTTAACAGAATGAAAGGAAAAGCAACTTGAAACACCAAATAGTGTGTGTGAACCTTCGGGCGGTGCTGTGCTTGGAATAGATCGTAGCTAATTTGCATTTCTTTTACCTTTGTACTAATTTGGGAGGGGAGGCGGGGGTCGCCTTTTTTAGATACACTTTAAAAAGGAAAAACATGTTTCTAATGCGTTACATCAGGAGCTGGTTTTGAACCGGAGGTGTAGAGATAGGCTAGTTAGCAGGATTCTAGTAGCCGGTCCACCGGAAGATGGTTAGGCCCCCACTGGTCTGCAGCCTCACTCACTCTCACAGCCAGAGTGTAGGCCCTAGAAATGTTATAATGTGAGTTGTTGGGGTTTGTTTGGGACTTAAGGAGGGTTTTTGTTTGGTTTTGGATGAGGGAAGATATTTTTAAACACTAAACTTCTGAGATTTAGTACTGTATGGGGAACATTACTTCCTGCAGGAGGTATAAAGGCTGAGTGTTCACGTGCCAGACACTTCTTTCAAGTGGGCTCCAGAAAACATGGTCGTTTTCAACTGGGTTTAAATTCAGCCTTCTATATGAATTCTTTCTTGGACCACAGATCTGCTTAGCAGGGAACTGTAATCCCAAACTAAACTTTTCTGAGATTTTTACAGTAATCACATTTTTTTTTTCAAGTTAATTGGATTATCCCTTCTGCCAGCCACCGGTGATTTTTATCCTTGAGGTGATATATTGATATTTCATCAGGGTATTTTCCTTTTCAGTGTTTAACGTGCACAATGCCAGGTTTTTAAATTCATCTTCATTATTTTTGTTCAATATGTGATTCAGGATCACATTTGTTTAGAAGAGATTCCACATGTTATATGTGTGTTTTATTATAATTTTAAAAGGGAAAAGATTGAGATTCTGGGAATTTAAAGTCAAAAGTTTCCTTCCTAAACAACTTTAAACGTTTTTCTGAAAACTTACAATATAGTAACTTACTATATATACATATATACATACACACATACACACACAGATATTGGTCTCTACCATGAAACCATATTTTGTCAGTAGTTGACCAAGCAGTTTTGTGAGAGCTCTTCTATGCAATAATGCATTTAATATCTAAAATACAAAAAAAAAAAAGTTTGAAGGTGAGATGCCTTAGAGTTTTAACAAAAAGTGGCATTTGAACAAAGACTTTGTGTTGGGTGTTATACACTCACGAGGCATCATTAAGTTTTAGCAGTGCCCCAGAGTAAGAAAAGCTTTCTGACTGATACCTTCTTGTAGGCTTCCGTTACTTTGGGCCTCACATAAAAATTTTCACGTTTGTATTCTTAGAAAATGTTATACATTTTTCTCCTAAGTATTTCACTCTCGAATCCATGAAACTTAAATAGAAAATATTGCCCACAGAATAATTAGGTAAGTAGAAGAGCTTTTTTCTGAGTGCTATGTCTTTAAATTTAGTTTTCTGTTTCAAAAGGATATTAAGAGTTCATATGTTTTTCTCACATATAGCACAGTTAGAAATACCATCATTTCTGGTTTTGTGGAAAATGACATGGGCTAGAGAGAGCAAACTGTTGCCTGTGCTGAATGATTTTTCAGTTAATGACCTCCGGAACTTAACCCACGCTGGGTGCGCAGATGGACGCCATCTGCACGGCTGATAGTGTTACTGTTAGACCTTGCTCACCTTACTTTTGTTCTGCTTTTTTTTTTTTAAATTCCTTAATCTGCTTACTTCTCTTCAGAAATAAGTATTTTTCACCAGTGTATGTGTTTTTTAAAAATTATTGTGGATGAGACCCTGTGGATTTTTTATTATTATTTTGTTTGTCGTAAATAAGCTAAAGTAGACATGTCATAGGTTGACCATTTCTGAAGAGATACGTAACTGGAAGTCGGAGCCTGACATCACGCAGTTTTGCCAAAGAGGGAACTAAACTGGAAGATGTGTTTGATATTTTCTGCTCTAAACATTAGTGGGTGCTTGCACAGAGTAAGAATAGTGTTCAGTTTGGTAAATAGTCCGTATATAGAATCGTGGTCTCTGACTGCCGGAAACTCTTTAACATAACTGCATAGAAGTGACCATTGTTCTTCTGTCTCCAAATTTGTCCGTCCAAAAGATTAGTCCTTGCTTTTTAAGATTATTTTAGCATTTGAAGCAAATGGAAACCAGTGAGAGAAGTGAATTAAAATAGTATAGGTGAATTTTTTATTACTGCTCACCAGGTGATATCTAATGATAACTCAAGAAAATATGTCACCAAAATATATTAAATATTTAGGTAGTTTATTAGTGGGATGATGAATTTATCTCCCTTTTACCCTTTATAAATTAGTAAATTGGTGATTCAGAAGCTTGAAATTTCCATCAATATTAAGTTCATTCGTTTCCTAGCCAAGAAAAACTCATAGAGTGATAATTTAAATTTAAGCTAGTCTGTGATAAGCATAATGATTGGCATATTATATGGCCTGATGTAACAGTATGTAATACCAGCCAAAATGCAATTTGAGACATGCCTCATTTAACATTTTATTTGAACATGAAAGCTTATTTTTCGTATGGAAGTAATGTATTAGTTTTTAAAATATAACTATAAAAATAACTGCATAATGACCTTCCAGAGCACTATTTTTGGTTTCATGTCCTCTCTGTGTCTGGGTCCTGCTTATTTTTCAGAGGTTTTTTGTTGTTGTTGTTGTTGTTCTCACTGTAACCTCCAAATGGTAAGCATTGAAAGAGAACTGATCAAACACACCTTCCTATTTTGTTTTCTTCACTATGTAAATATTGTTTGTGTAAACATTACAAAAAGGGATCCAAACAATTTGAGTTTGAGTATTTTTTTCTCCTTAGGCATGTGCTTCCATGACATGTTTTTCTGTGTGGGAAAATGCCATGTGACTATTGCACTACCTTCCGTATGAACTGTCAGTATTTGGTCTTTCTGTGTGTCAAGAGTTAAGGTGTCTATAGCTGTGACATTTTTATAAGTGGCTTTATTCCTCTTCTAGAAGATTTATAAAAGAGACCAAGGAACGCTATTGTTATAGAAGGAGAAAATGTTTACAGTCTGTAGTGTATACTATGTATTAGTTGAAACCGGGGCCCTCCAAGAGCAGCCTAGTCTGTTGATCTCTTGGGATTACTAGATTTCTAGAATTTACCTGGCCAAATGACTTGAGCAGAAGTTTCTTTCCCTTTTTTTTTTTTTTTCCTTTGGTAGATTAAATTGTAAATAAAACTATAGGGCATCATATGAAAGGAAATTGATAATGTATCCACTGTTGACTTTCTTTCTGTTTTTTGAGGCACATTCCTTTACAACCACACTATCTTCTGCAAACAAGGGGTACCAGCATTGCTTAATGGAAGGTAATCTTTAAAAAAGAAACCCTCTGCTACAAAGGCTTTTGAAGTAATTGGATCCCTTTTTGGAAATGAAGATGAATTCGACTGTCCCGGTGAAATGCTGATACTGCTGTTTTACGATTAGATGAGCTAGAGCAAGTGGTGAGGCTTGTCTGACTTGCTCAGATATCTTTGCTTTTATTTTCTCTCTCCTGTATTATTTCTTTCAAACCTAGTAAACTTATGATTTTATAGCCAGAGTGGCATTTTGTTTTTTCAAAGCTTTGAAATACACTGTTACTTAATCACACTGATGACAATTATTTTCCATGTGAAGTCAGCCTTTCCAAAGTGATTCAAGTACTTTTTGCTTTTGCTCCCCTAAAAATGGCTTGTGTCTAAAGTGACTATTTTCATTCTATTTTGAGGATTTTCACGAAAGAGATCTGCGATACAAACTCGTAAGCTCATCGAAAGCAATCTCATTACACTGGTATCTCAAGTTGGAGCGTGGGGAAACTTTGGTCAGTGCCTTATCGATTCAAAGACCAAGTTTAGGGCATCGAGTATTGACAGCGATCATTTGCCCTCCTACTCCTTTATTTCAGGAGTGTGTGCTCTCCCTCTCTCCACCAGCTTACTCTTTCTCATGGCAAGTTTAAGAAAGTCTGTACAGACACCTCTAGGAATCGTGGCATCCTTGGTTTCGAGTCTTTGTAGACAAGCGCCCTCTCTGCTCCTCTCCTTCCAGGGTAGGAGATTAAAAACAAATCCACCCAAATCAGCCTTTGGGTGAACACTCTTAAGAACAACTTTGAAGAGCATCTGTCAAGCTCAGTTAATTTTGTGTTGTTGATATTGGTTTGTTTTTTTTTTCTTTTTTGAGCGTAGACTTACACATAAGGCCTTTCAGCAAATCTCTAAAAGAATATGATACAACCGAAAGGATTTGTTTGGGTTTTATTAAAGGTACTGGAATTTTGTAATGAGAGTTCCTTTGGCCAGAAATGAGATTTAGTTTGGTTCATTCTTACATTTAAATAAGACTCAGAACAAACAAGCACTCACTTAACTTACGCATTATGATTTACTTGAAAATATGATGGCAGGAAACTGAAAACAACTCCAATATATAAATTAAAGGGAAGTTTAATTTATACAGTTTACTAGCTTTCCCAGCAAAAGCGAAGCTGGAAAACATTTTGCTTCTCTGAGATTATTGCAATATCTGGAGCCACTGTTGTTCAACTGAGTCAAGAGGCTATTTTCAAAAATTTTAAAGGACTTGTCTATTCCCAAGTAGGCAGGTGGACTCTTTAAGGCCACCTGAGGGATTAAGCGGTCCTTGAGGGTTGGTTATTAGCAGAATTTAAATTTTGATTTTAGTCATTTCGACTGCAAAGTAGTGATGAGGTTAAAGGGTACATAATCAGGCTGCTTTGGAATTGAACTTGAATAGGCAAGCAGACAATTTCATAAGTATTAGCTGTGCTTTAGGTACCAGGTAACAAATACTAAGTTTCCCCTGAAGACATCATTTATTAGAAGTAGTCACAAATAGAAGCCAATAATTGTTGACTTATTAAGTCTGACGGAGTAGCCAATAAGAAGTCACTAGACCCTTCAAGAGCTTCTACCCTTGAGCAGTGACAGTTTCGTCGTTTCACAGCCGAAGTGTGTGTGTGGGAGGGGGCGGGGAACTCATTCACAGCGTAATCTGAAGGAGATACACATCTGTGGGGATTAAAACCCAGTGATGATTAATAGAGAAAAACACAAGCCATTTTTATTCTTTATCTCAGTTAACGTGCGGTACTCTAATGATGAAGCACTCGATTGCACTGTGACCTCCTTGAGTGATGTGCAACCTACTTCCTCTCTCACTTTTTGTCCCTATTTAATATGCAAATGTGAGCGTGAGATCTTCGGTGTGTTTGCATAAGCTAATTTAAAATGAATTTACAGTTTTCTGAAATATTTCTATTGAAATAAATGACTTAAAATATAGGTTGTACAGGGGTAATTTATTACCATATTTTTACTTTTTTCATTAACTTTTGAAGTGCATTTTATCAGTGACTTTGAAATAAATCCTCCAACTTGATTTTCTCCTCTTTCTAAAATAGTCGACAGCATTTCTCTTGGTAAGGAGAAGCTGCTGTCTGGGTCAACTTCAGTTGCTCTTCTCTGTGCCCGGACAAGGATGGGCAGTAGAGGTCAAGTGTAGATTTCCAACACGTCCCCGCTCCACGTGTGTGCTGTGGTAGGGACAGTCCCCCCAAGCGGCCCTCTTTGCAAATACTGTATTTCATAGATTCTCAGACATGATTTTTTTTTTCACATTTTACCATTTCTGAAAGCAGAATCCATCTTCCAGCCTGGGGAGCTTTCAGTTGGAAGGAATACGAAAATACCCGTGTTGAGTCTCATGTAAGTCATCGGCCGGGGTGTCGGTCATACCCTATCTAAGAATTCCACACAGGCTGGCCTCTAAGAAGGCTCAGTGTTTGGGCAAACCAAAACTCTGTTTTCAGCAATTCTCTCCCCTCTCTTGTGGCCTTTGAAAATTTTCACTGTCCCTGTACTGGAACCAAAAGAGTGACAGCTCCCTGATAGGGTCAACCTGTCTTTACCTCACACACTGCCACCTTTGTCTTAACATCAGTTTTCCGTATGTGCAGCTAAGTTTCTGGGTCCCCTTTTCCATCTCGTTAGTTGTTGGTCCTGGAGCCAGTGGCACATCGTCTTCATTGCTGTAGAGCCGTATAAGTCTTGGTATCTGATGAGGTAATGATAATGTTCTTTACATCTGCCTTAGATGTTCTTAACTCCTTTGTCTTCCATACGATCAGTGTGTCAAGTTCAGTGAAAATACTGTTGATATTTTTATTGGAATTGCTCTGAATATATAGGTTAATTTGAGAAATAACAGTTTTGAAAAGTGTATTCCTCTGATTTATGAACATGAAACATTTCTCCATTTACTTAGGATTTTAATGTCCCTCAGTAACATTTTACAGTTTTCTCTCTACTGGTTTCATACATCTTTTATTAACTTATTCCAGGTACACTAGAAGTTTTGTTTCTATGAATAT